TTTTTTTTCCGTGTAAATTCATTTTTTATTTCTTTCTTCGTTCCAGTTTTAAAAATATATATTGTCCAGCTTTAAAGTCCAGATATATTTAAATATCGCAATGACTATTTAATGATTGTTCAATATTAGTTGACGATTATTTTATAATTAATTATTATTACTTAATAAATTAAAAAATTAATAAATCATTTGATTAGCATTTAGATTCTGCGAATAACATTACTCCGCGATCTTTAAAATCTCGCCGGAATAGGTGTATTCGTATCATGAATATTTTTGTTTAACATGTTTCGAAATGAAATCTGCATTATGGTAAAAGTAAAGTGTTTATTTCAAATAATAATCATGTACAAATTTATAATTTCAAAAATATACGCAACAGTAAAATAAAATACGTTTTCAATTGATAGGTTTACCAGTTCCACAAATAATCGGCGGCAACAATGCTCCAGATGGTTTATATCCTTATCAAGTGTCACTGAGATATGCAAAGTTTAACCTGCATTTCTGCAGTGGAGCTATCATCAGCAAGAATTTCATTATTACAGCTGCGCATTGCTTTAACGAGATGTGTGTTTTTTTCTATCAGACTCAAAATATCGCATATCTTCAGGGTCGCCAGCAATAATTAACAACATCAAATTTGGTTGACCGTATCTGGCAATTTTTATGTTTAAGCATCGCTACGTTTCGACCATGGGTTTTAGTCCTTTTCAAGCGATCTGAGATAGTCATGCACGGAAAAAAAATTAGCTGCTGTAGCTAAATAACTTAGCAAAATATTGAGCTATCACAACTAAAAATATTAGCTGTCCATTTTTTGCTAAGTTATTTAGCTACTACAGCAGCTAATTTTTTTTTCCGTGTGTACATAGACTCGCGTGTATTTTGGTGATGTAGAAAGAATTGTCGTTATAATCACGTAATGCTATACAAATTTTGTGTCGAAGTTTGCTACACGAGAACATTGCTTGAGAGATGACGGAGCATGACAGTCATGCTCCGTCATCTCTCAAGTAGTCTCCTACTCAAGTGAACTCCGACACAAAATTTTTGTTACATTAAAAACATTAAAACTGCCAGATACGGTCAACCAAATATAATGTTGATAATTACTATGATTTAACGGCACACATTGACCAGAAATTTTGATAAATATTAATGACAAGTATTAATTACAGACAAGTATTAATTACAATATACTATTTTAACAGAGTGATTCCGGTGGAGCGCTCGTTGCTGATAACACGTTGATTGGTATCGTGTCCTTTGGTAAATTTCAATGTGGAAACGGTTTCCCAGATGTATACACTAGAGTGTTTTACTACAGGGACTGGATTAACTCCTATGTAGGGATTTGATTCAACGACGATACCGCATCAGAAGTACCTGCCAATCGAATATCACGCTGAGATTCCTGACAATTGCGGCATTTATTAATTTAGAACATTGACGACTACTTGACTCATATTCTACTTAACAGATTATACACATAATACAATAAAAAAATTATTATTATTTAAGCATTTTATTTGGAGACGGATAATTGTTAAATAAACAAGTATATTTAGACCAGTATCTCAAAAATGCGTGATACGAAATAATGTCTTGATTAATTTATTTTTAATGAGAAACTATATGCCACTCTAGTAATGTTATCTCGTAATATTGAATACTCTTCGAATCCATCTCCAATAAAATATAAAAATATACCTAAAAATGTTTTATTAGTAAGAAATAATAGCGTTATGTGCAGTCTAATTTAACCACATTGTATATAATCTTATGCAAAAGCATCTTGTAAATATGTATTTTGAATAAATACAGCTGAAAAATAATACAATAAATACACCCTAAAATAATAATATAAAATTGTATAGTCACGGTGTAAAAGCGGACCTCTCCTCCTATCTCCCGGAAGTATAAAATCATAAAATAAATAGTGCTGATTCAAGAGAGATTGCGAGAGAAAAAAATATTATCATTTTGACGACACCATTCTGCGCACGCCTCTGTATATTACCTGCACGCAAAGATAACTTGCGGATCGATATAGTTATATTGATAATTTTGATCGACGGTTATATAAATCGAAGATAACGCATCTCATGCGCTTCAGTAACCATCACTATGTTTTCTATCGCCGGTCTCATACTCACGTTTCTAATATATCACAGTGCCCATGGTAAGTATATTTCTGAAAATCTTATTAATGAGAAGATGTAAATTGCGACCGTATTACAAGCTTTAACGCATCGCGAAAAATTCGAGCGCGTACAACAATTAACGATATTGATCGATTGATTGTTACATAACTTCCTTCGCGCACTTATCATCCGAATGAGTTGCATTTCGTCGTACAATCAGTTTCGTATAAGCGAAATTATCGCAATTATTTGACAAATTATCTGTCTAGCGCTTATCGTACATTTTAAAACGTATTATTCATTCATTTATCGCACAGCTTAAAAACGTTATGGTGATATAATCTTAGTCTATAACTTTCAAGATTTTGTTAAAATATTATATTAAGCGTATTGTTTTGTAATATATAATGTATTGACTCGTAACTTATTTTATATTACATATTTTATATTTTAAAGCAAAATTATTATCTACATTATTATATAAAATTGTTGAAATAAAGGAAGAAAATTAATATATAAAAAGACCCTAGTAATACATATAAGTATGCAGACAAATAAATATATTTTTAATCGGTAGGTTTGCCTGACACGCAAATCGTCGGCGGTGACGATGCTCCGGACGGCAAGTATCCTTATCAGGTATCACTGAAGCATACATTTGATGGAAAACATTTTTGTGGTGGGGCCATTGTTAGCAAGAATTATATTCTTACCGCAGCGCACTGTTTGAAAAGGTATGCATGTCCTCTCTTTCTTTCAGTCCAAAACATTCAACTGTCTAATCCGAATCTCTAGTCTGTTCTTATCCGGATAATTAGTGCATTTTGTACATTTATAATTTTGCAGAAAAAGACAGCATTATATACCGTCAAAATGCAAATTTAATGGCACAAAATTATAAAGAAATGAGAAATCTAGAAAAGTATTCAACAATTTTTAATATTTATAAGAAATGTATGATTTATATGTTTATACATGCATAATCCAGACATTTAGACGTATGAAGAGTCATTCCATATATACATATATGTACATAGTTAAATAAATATAATAATAAAAATTTGATCTTTTGGACTAGCTTTTAAATTAAATACATGCAAAGTAATCATAATCTTTACTGATTGTTTTAGTGTGCCCCATCCAGCCAATGTTCTCATCAACGTTGGAACCAATCTTCTTTATGACGAAAGTACACTTCGAGTTACGTATGCAGCGAAAAACATAATAAAACACCCTGATTACAACGACACACTCAGGAGTAACGATATTGGTTTAATTGAGCTAACGGAAGAAATGAAATTCAATGATAACATCAAAGAAATTAATTTGATCTCTAGCGACGAAAAGTTTGAAGGTGTTGATTTTATAGTTACTGGTTGGGGAAGAACCTTGGTAAATATAAAAATTATTAATCTAATGTCTCATTTAAAACTTATCTAAAATTAAACAAGAGCGAATTTTGACAAGCATCTTTTCAAGGACGATGTATATTCTTTATCATTTTTATTTCAAAACCAGAGTATCAGGCATTAAGTTAAAACACTTTTTTCAGCCGAACGTAGAATATTCACCTCGCCTACAACAAATCGTAGTGAAAGGATTTAACCAAACGAGGTGTGCCGAGACGTACAAGCATAAGGGTATACAAATCACCGATCGTCACTTATGCACCCATCTGGCGTATAGTGTAGGAGTGTGCCAGGTAAGTACATAATCGTACACACGTTTATCTCGTGGCAACCTTTATCCCGCTAGAAATTATAAAAAAGAAATACAGTAAAAAAACGAGTAATCGTCGTTGTTTTATCAATCGTTGATATCAAGTTGATAAGATATTGACGAATGAAATTTCTATCGTTTAGATAATTTTTTAGAATTAGAACTAATTCTGATAGAAAAGCAATTAATCACTTTATAAAAAGCAACTTTAAAGATTATTTACGATACTTGCCGATATCTAGAGGTTATCGATAAAAAATCTAGAGATATACCGATAAAAAATGCTGGCGAGCGTTAATTATATTAAATACACTCGGTAGGGTGATTCCGGTGGTGCGCTCACTCTTAACGGCAATCTGGTTGGCATCGTGTCCTTTGGTTCATGCGCCTCAGGCGATCCGGACGTATTCACCAGGGTGTTCCCCTACAAATCGTGGCTCCATGAGTACATTAATGCAGGCAACAATCAACAATTGAACATTCTTCTCGGACTTGTTACAATGTATCTCTGTGTACATTTATCGTTGTAGATACGTATATTTCGTTGCGCGCGCCAGTGACAATTTTAGTTATTAATGAATATTGCGTGAGGATGAAACTGAAGTACTTGAGAAAATATAGTTATGGATAATGTATTATAATTTATGAAATTTCTTTCTCATATACATATATTATATAGCCTATATATAAAGCTTTTACGAAACTTTAGTTTTACGCCAAGAAAAAAGTCAGAAATTCGAACAAATTAAAAATTAAGCTCTTTCTGTAGAAATATAAAATATATTATCGAATTATATTCTGTAACGCGCGAGATTGAAATTAATTTATTAATTTATTGGACGTACAATTTTTCCGAAGATTCTTTAGAAATATACGTACACACAAAAAGAATATTTCCAGAATATCTCCAGAAAAGATATAATAAGTTGCGAAATATTAAATTAAGGCGTATATAAATTGTCGGATATTTTAATGAATAATTAAAACGTTATATTTTTTAAAAAGAAAAAGCTTATTTAACAAACTAAGATTCATTAGCACTAAAACATTTTTCCAATAATTTTACAATAAATAAATACTATTTCGAGAGGAAATTTGTATTTTTAAAATCAATAAATTGTTTTACAGCTCTTCCTCTCTCTCCCTCCCTCTTCTTCTCTCTCTTACTTTTTAAAAATTGTTTTTAAAAAACAATCCAAACGTTTGAAACCATAGTAATCTGTATAAATTCGATAAATAAGAAGGATATGATCAGATTTCATAGTTCATTTCATTTAACTTTATTATATGTTGTTAAAATTACAGATTAGCGAATCCTTTCGTCGTTTAACTAATTATAAGATCTTCTACTAAAGTTCTTAAAATACCATTATCGATTAAAGTTTTACTGCGTAACTTATTTTACAAAAGTTTCACAATAAAATTTTGGAAATCAATGTTACACTGTTCTTTTATTAACAGCGTTAATTGCATTAATATCAAATAAGACGCAATCAAACAATATATATAAAGATTTAAAACTCTCCAACAGATGATAGACAGTTCATTATTTATCAAAGCTTATCGAACTGATTAATTGATAAAATTAATTAAGTACTCAGCTTTGTATCCTCACAGCAATTTAATCTGATCTAATTAAATCTCTGGAAATGACAAGACAATTTCGAAAAACACAAGCAATTAGTAGATATGTATCTTCTACAAAATTTTATTTTTATAAAAAGCTTTTTCTTCGCCTCCACTCGCAAAATGTAATTAAAATAAATATAACGCGAAGTAAATTGTTTTTTTTTATACATATACATACTGTGTATACTTGAATTTCGAATTTGGATTAATTCTACACTGATTTATCGATTAAAAATTTTAATCGATTAAATTAGTCACGATTACATGCATGATGATCGATTAATTGCGATTTTTTATTGATGGATTACTTTAGTCAACTAAATATTTAATCGATTAATGCCCAACACTGGTTATAATATACAGAAAACCAAGCTTATCGAGAACAATCTACTACAAATTTTGTTGGCAAAAGGAGTACATCGTAGCTTGTCAGCAAATTTTTATATTTTACAATTATACATATAATTTATATATCAGCAACGAAAGAATGTGAATCGCCAGTAGTTGATTAACGATGAAAAGTATTGTTAGATGACTTTAGGCTGGCAGATGGTTTTTCTTTATTTTAATAACTCTCCCGTGTTATCGACATTTCATGCATGCAGCACGGAACACAATCAAAATTGGGCACTGCATTACCCGCTTGAAAAATGGGCGTAGCACGGACACGCACCAAGCGGAGACTTTATCGGCAGTGCTTGAAAATGGGTGTAGCGAAATAGTTCGAAAAATAAAAATGGGCGTAAGGCGCTGGCGTCAACCGAGCGAAAACGGCGTGGCCGCTCTCGGGTTTCTCTTTGGTCAATGAATTTACTTAGGGATTTTAAGATGCTCATCAGGAGCAAAAATCTACCCGACTGATCCGGCAGCCCTGTTCCGCGGCATTATTTGCCCACGCTCGTCATAGCATAGGTCGATCGCGATTGGAGCATGCGCTGAAGCGGCCCCTCGTTCAGCCATTCCGGTTCCCTCCTCCGCGCGGGGGTGAACGTCATTCATGATTTAGTCGCCAGCGTTCGCGATCGCGGCGAGGGTTTATCGGCGCGTTCCCGGATATTCGCGTGTGGTGTTCGCGTATACGCGCGTAGAGCCGCGTAATCGAGGAACAGACCCGGGCTCCTTCGCCGCCGTGAAGTCGCGCGCGCTTCCCACGCCGCTCTCTCGCGCAGCACTCTCGGCACTCCGCGCGCGGTGCGGGACTGATCGATCGGCCGAGTGAAGTTCGCCGCACGCGGAGGACCCGTACGGCGCTGCTTCTCATCCACGGACGCGCGCGATGCCACCCGTCCCGTCGCTCTCCTGATACCCGACCCGGCCCGTCTCCACGATGGACTCTCCGCCGTTCTAACGGGGCGGTAAGGTAAACGGACCAAGTTCCAACGATAGCAGGCGGAGGGGAGATAAAAGACAGAGACAGAGAGAGAGAGAGAGAGAGAGAAAAAAGTGTGTAGCGCGCGCGGTAGTGTCCGTGTGACCGCGTGACAATCGATCGCGGGTGAACCTCTGGCGTCGAGTCGTCCGGCCCGACGAGTCCGACTCGAGATCCGCGCGACCACGGCGTTTCCCCGGAGAACGTGGACGAGCGAACGGCGCGAGCGAGAGAGGAAAACGGAGAGGAACGAGACGGAGCGCTCGGACGTAACGCGAGCTGCGCTCCTCCGTGGCGGACATGTCGACGTAATGGCGTCACGACTGTCTTTTTCGACTCCCCCCCGAGATAAATGCATTCCGCTCCTCCTGACTGCCGACTCCCCGTCGGAGTCTCGCGTGAATCCCGCGCCGTCCTCGGCCCGCGTAGGCGCCTAACCGGACACCCGTCCGCGTACTCGTCGCTCTCGATAGTCGCCCAATAAGGTTCAACCTGTGCCTCTCGCGCGCCGGAGCCGGGAGGAAAGTGGATACGTCGCGTTTCTCGTCGGGTTCTCGGGGTCTGCCTTGACCGGCCGCGCGGGTCCTGGTGGCGGACGAGCGCTTAACTTGCCCAATAGGTTAATCGGACGTGTAATCGATGGGTTGGCGAATCATGTAACGCGACGCACCTGCTTCGCCGGGCTCCCCCCGCCCCCGGGAGTATCCCAACGTGACCGAAACAAATTGATTTGCCCGTGACGGCAGGCCCGTTCGCGTCGTCGCGACTCGAAGAGGCAGCTCGCGAACTCGTGATCGAGGAGCTTGGTGGAGGGACGACTCGGGTCGATTTGAGCGCTCGTGAAAAGTGTATTTCCAGGTTTCGGAATTGTGCCTTTACGCGGCTGCTGAACTGCAAGGCCCGTATCCTGAACCCTCTTCTTTTTTAGCAATAAAAGCGTCTCTAAAAGCGGCTAGTAAACCTGATTGGCTACAAGCCGCTTTTAGAGGCGCCTTTAGCGATGAGAGAGGACTCGGAGCCTGAGATTCGAAGCGCGCGTTTTATAGATATAAAGCGTTTAAAGTAGACGAGAGGAACAACCTGAACCGACCTGAGTCATCCGTCCACCAAACTCCTGGACACGCGTATGAGGCTTGTCACTACTTGCGCCACGTGTGGTTCTCTTTCAGATGGCTGTCTTGTAGTGCCGATCGCACCGGTAGCACACGAGTCAGTGGCGCGACCACGTCGGCGTTGTAACATTGATGAACAGAAGATTTCGCATAAAGGCCCGTTCTACCACGTTGTAACGTCCGACTGCGAAGTAGTCCGGCGGAAATGGCGGACGAGTGCAGCGAGGCCAAGTCGGTAGGACCGTCCTCGCCGAGGAGTCCGCAGGGCGGCGGCAGCAACGGCGGCAAGCCCGGTAGCCCGCACTCGCCTAGGCAACCAAGACGTGTGAAGCTAACTCAGCAACAGTTGGACAGCTTGACTAAGGACGAGCTGGCGGCCAAATGGCATGAACAGGACTTGTATGTGGAGTGTCTAGAAGCTCAGACGGCAGCTCAGGAAGGTACTGAGATCACACGAGTGAGGCCACCTCACTCACCACATATCTTAATCGAATTAACGAATGCCAGAACACAACGGTCCTTTGTAAGAGACGGGACTCTCGTAGAGACGCTAAGAGTAGGGCTCGTTAGATCAGTGTTTAGGATACTATCGTTAAGTTGTCTACTAGGTTTAAGGTAGCGAGAGAGAGAGAGAGAGAGAGAGCTTTAGTAAATAAGTCAAATTCGGGTATAAATGTAGGCAACTACCTTTATCGCTCTATGAGGGAGCTTAGTACGTGCGATCGGATTTTATGTATCTGCACAGAAAGTACTAGAAAGATTGAAAATGGAATTGAGATAATGTTGCGCTTCATATACAATATAGTGATTATATTAGCATATCAATTTCCAAAAGCTACATTTTCTTGTGATGTGTATAGTGCGGGTAATTAAAGATTCGTATGTATCGCGGTGACGTAAGGCGATAATTCTCAAGGTATTTGTGAGCATGGGTGGAGTGACAGCCACACACACATATATATATATACATATATGATGTATAAAAAGGAATACGTTGAGTCCAAATTTTTTTGTGAGCAATTACATTATCAGCCTTAAAGAGCCGTAGTTAGCGAGTAAAAAAAAGTGCAAACGGCCAAGGGTAACAAGTGCTTATGTGTGTCAAGAAGCGTCCGTTTCTCTGCTCCGTCGAGATGCTGTGGGAGGCACAGCCTCGCTCAGAATGTCATTTCACAAGTGCCCTGTGCAGTGTGTCGCGTATATCTCAGCAGTGTAATAATTATACTGCCGAAAATGCGGGAGAGTGTGTGCACGTGCGTGGAAAGTAAATTTTCGGAAAATACCGAGTTTCTAGTTAACGAAGGGATCAGACGAAAAAGCAACGTTTGATATGACGGCGCTGAATTTACGGCTCAGAGGAATAATAAGAGTGGACCCGTGGTCACCCCTTTGGCCTGCATAACACTGCACCTGGGGTGCGTGAAATTTAAATCTCGGTGAAGTACGCAACCACATTCGTCGTTACCAATTGGAACACTACACGATCCCAAATCCCATCGTCTGCCTCTCCCCTCCCGTCTGCTCTGTGGTATCCTTGAAATATTATCTTGTCCTTAAAAACCTCTTCTTCCATTTAGAGATAATGCAACTTTTAATTAACTGTATTCCTAGACCGATTGTCCTACTACATATTCTTATCTATGAATGCAACTTGTGCATGCATTTATACCTGCACCATAATATCCTGGTATCAGATACGAATTTCGAAAGTACATACCTGTGGGTTAAGCCCGGCCGGCGTCTCGTAACAACATCTGCGCCTGCAACAAGTACACGCTTGATTCTTGCGGAAGAAAAGTAACGTCCACTCTTGGTCACGGTGGAAGTACAGAGAGTCTCACAAATGGCACGTCGCAACGACACCAAAGATCAAAGTATGCGCCAATTAACAATGTCAGTTGTCAGGCAGTCATAGTCACGTACTTATAAAAGTATATTGTTTATTTATGTGCGCACTTAGGTTAAACTTATAAATAGTAATTTTTCACCAGTACACTTGGTTCCATCAAAAACTCTCTATTGATACATCATATATGCAAACTGTACGGAATATTCTATATAGTTAGAGTCTGAGATTTCAAATATTTCGTACAATTCAGAAATTTCTATCCTTAATCTAATTATATAAATGTTCCAGGAAACGGAAAGAAAATTCTTGATAATTATCAATATATATGCTATGAAGATACAGTAGAATAAGATACATGTTCTAACATTTCTTCCAAATAATGAATTCTTTTTATTAACACGTGTCTTAAAAAAAACTGTAGATACAACAGAACAATTTTTATATCCTTGTGAGGTATATATAAATGTATATTCAAAGATGATATGTAGAAATTATTATGATATTCTTTTCTAATCTTTTAATTCGTTTCATAAAGATGATTCTAAATCCTTACGTATAAATATTACTCAAATCAGAATTCACGCACTGGACATTTATATCTGCACATTCTTAATACAAATATATACAAATATCAAAAAAATTAAATTTGCATAAAGCATCTTTAAAAGACAGTCGGAAAAAAAAATAAGACAAAATACAATTGCTTGTTAGACTTTGGAGAAGCAAAACCAACTTGCAGGCTTAAAATAGTTGAAAAACTGATATATAAGCGCGCGCGCGCGTGTGTGTATGTATTACATCTCCCATGAGATATACATATTTCATAATTTCGCTGTAATTACTTTAATATATGGCGAATAACTTTGCTATTTTACAAGAAATATTTTTCTTGTAGAATATAAATATATACATACATCACAAATATATATGTAATAACTACTGCAATTTTAAGAAACACAGATACCGTTGAATAAGTCCTAGAAGTAGAAAAATTTATAGATTATTCCTTTATAGGTGAACTAGCTTCATTGAGAGAATCCGAAAACAAATACAGACAGCAATATATAGAAGCGTCCCACAGGGAGAAGATCTTAGTAAGGAGGCTTGCCTCTAAAGAGCAGGAATTGCAAGAGTATATTGTATGTAACTATTCTCAGATACATGAAAGTTTTCTAGTGCAATTTATCTCGCAAGTTTAATTTCTGCACGATCCTATAAAAAAAAGAGATTTATCTTTTTCATTGTTAGAATCAAATAACTGAAATGAAAGCCACCCAAGCTCCGTCCGCAGCTGCATTAAGGTCGGCTCTGTTAGATCCGGCTGTTAATATATTGATACAGAAATTAAGGCAAGAGTTAATAACGACCAAGGGCAAATTGGAGGATACACAGAATGAACTAAGCGCGTGGAAGTTCACCCCGGACAGGTCAGGAGAGCTTTGTGTGTTAATTGAGAGAGGAGTCATTACACGACACAAATTTTCACTAATTAAATATTTTATTTGCAGCAATACGGGGAAAAGGTTAATGGCAAAATGTAGATTGTTGTATCAGGAAAACGAAGAACTTGGCCGTATGATTGCCAGTGGGCGTATTGCTAAGTTGGAAGGCGAGCTTGCTCTGCAAAAGAGCTTCAGTGAAGAAGTGAAAAAGTCACAATCAGGTATCTCGTTAGATACGTTAACCGAGTTACAGCTGTTACTAATTTTGATCAAGCAGTTGTTACAATTATTACAATTCAAATTGGACTCGACGATGGAAACATTTCAATTTTAACTCATACGCGTTCTTTTGGTTTCCTTGCAGAATTAGACGAGTTTCTGCAGGATTTGGATGAAGACGTGGAGGGTATGCAGAGTACCATTTACTTTTTACAACAAGAATTACGCAAGGCCCGAGAATCGGTCACGCTACTGCAACAGGAGAATGCAGGGTTAAAGGCGAATACAAACGACAATAATTTATCGAACGGTTTGTCGCCGCATACGCCACCGATCAAGAAAGAGGAGCCGGAAGAAACTGCTGTACCGGATGCGAAACCTCCGAAACCGATAGAGGACAGTGATGTGTGCAAAGGTGTAAGGACTCCACCGTTAACGTCGCCCCAGAGTGAGCTTACCAGTGTCGAAAGAACAGAACGTGCAGAGAGAAAACTTAATCAAGCCGATCATAATGACGAGAGTTCCAGCGACTCCGCAGCGTTAATTATTAAGGTCGAGAATGAGGAACTTAGTGATAGGGAGGAGGAGCAGGAGGAAAATCGGAACAAGCGAATATTGAGGAGTAAAAATCACAGTAGGAATAGTGGTAAATCGAACGGGGAGGAGGTGATAACGCGAACGACGCGGGGTAGGGACAGGATAAAGAGGGAGAAAAGTGCAGCCAGTAGTGATGATGAAAGGACGCACAAGAAGAAACGGAGGGAGAGTATTCTTTCTCTCGATTATAACGAAGCCGACGACGATGCGCTAGTTTTAACCAATGGCGAGACTCTGCAGAGTGATCCGGAATGAGCGATTATATTCTAGGTTGATCTTGGAGGACATTAACCACACGCGTGGTTGAGAATCGCGATATATGTATATGATTTAACATCCCCACGTTACTACTATGTACAAAATTTTTCATCTAAAGCAACGCCGGCTATTTACAAGATGAATTGTTCGAATAAATAAATAATTAGTCATAAAGAAACGTAATTTCAGTACCTGTATTCGTGATAAACTGCAAAGGATAAATATTCACATTGGTCTCTAAAAAACAAACACAAAAATGACAAGTCTGTAAATACTCTTATACCACTAGATCACTATAACGTTCACGTTTACGTCGAGTTACTTGCAAACGACCAAGTTGCGTATTACATTACAAAGATATATCGGACGAAAAATCTGAATAGGTTTAATATAATTTATTACAGTCGAACGCGCTGTAAGGGAAATTAGAACAATCGAATTTCGTTTATATTTTGTAAATTTATTGTATTAAAACTATATAAAAATCAGCAAGGACTTTGATTAATCAGTAAATGAAAAGGACAATCCGTAAGATATTGTCAAGAATTAATCAAAACTGACTATATTACATAAATAAATTCTAATACCTTCACGAAAAGAAAGAGGCGCGCCGTGAGATTTTCGCATGATTACGTACGTAACGGTCCGATGTACATATGTATTTCCGTGCAATGTGAGGCGTATATCGATCCCGCGTACAATATGCGTTTTCGTTTTGCGTTTTTATTAAACAATTGGCAAATAACAAAGTATATAACGTTAGTCTTAGCATCGCATACGGATTGATCTCACAGACTGATACATTTGAATTTACATTGTTTATTTTCTCTAAACTAAACTTTTGTAGCATTTGATATATTTTATATTATCTATATATGCAAATTTGTTTTGTGTCGTCTCTCGGAAAGATTTGCGCCTTCAATTTCGTTCCACGGCGGTCTATGCTGCGAGAGAAAAAAATAAGAGGATATCAAAAGTTGCATTGGGGAAAAAAATATTACGAGTCACGCACGATACGTTCCATCCCAAATTTTCTGTACAGTGCCATTATTATTCTTGTCTAGATATCGATGCTATTATGACTTCAGGGCCACAAGCGACGGAAGATAGAGCCTTTTTCTTACGCACATTTTGCAATCGAAGCATATGGTGTCTTCTTTTCTTTAAATAATTTTAAGAACGATTGAAAGTCACCTTGTATTTCGATGAGAGTTGAGTGAAATTTTTTACACGTTCGCCTTTTTGCTTACGCGATGTAGAACGTCCGCGTGCTACACTCACCGCTAAAAGTATGCTAACACATGAATTGTGAATATCTTCAACTGCAAGACATGATCATTAAAGGATTCCTTATTCAGACTGAAGATATGTTAATTTCCTTCCATTCCACGCTTGGCATTTAATGATACGATCGCGTGGCAGAGAAGCGCCGTCTTTCGAAGAAATAGAAGAAGATTTAACAACTTCAAGGGAACAATTCTTGATTAGCGGGAAAGGATAAATCGGTTCAATGTTAACTTGACAATTTCAAGGAAACAATGCTTGATCAGCAGGAAAGGATAAATCGGTCCAACGTTAAATTGAACGCATCGCATTTGGAAATTCAATTTTCAAAAGAGGGTACGTTTGCCGCCGGTTCCATCGATCGATCTGGAATTGGAACACGTCGGTTGCCGATGTGCCGGCAACTTCAAATGCCCATCTGGAATGGAAACTGGGTGAGTAACTTCATCTCTTTCTGACTGTCCCCTTGGAAAAAGATAAAGCCGCTCATTTTTAGCATTTTCACAGTATTGTGTAAGCTACAGAATTGCGAATACCATCGATAACGCGACCCTACGCGCCCCACGACGTCGGTATCGCAGCGAACTCGGCGAACAGGTTGAGCCAGCTCGCGCGCGTATCGCTGGCGGTTCTCAATGGTCGCGGTGGTGTAGAACCGTGCGGTACCGTGTAGAGACCGTAGAACCGTGAGCGCGGAATCACGAGCGGGTAGAAACCTCCTGTTTGGAAGAGGATAGTCAGGACACGACTGCCCGAGACAGCAACACAGCTCACTCCTCGCCCCGACTATGTTCGCAGCAAGGCGCGCTCTTATCTCCAACACGATGTAAGCGCAAACGACAGCCGCCACTCGGGCTCCGCCGCCGTTGTTTTCGCATTATGTAATTTCTAACCTGGCGCGCGCAACGACGTTTCACGGACGCGTCCGCAGCCCGTGGTTGCCGAACTTTTCCCCCGTTCGATGAGCCGGCGTTAATGATTTGCGTAAAATCGTGAATCGTGACCTTTCGTACCCCGCACGTACCAACGCGGGGCTGGCGCGACGCGCTTCACAGCTGATTGGCGGATCGTCAAGAGAAATAAGTTTCAGTTTCACCTTTTCCTCGAGACTGATTCTGATTGTGCAAGGTTTCATTTTTACGGACAATTTAACCGCTGGAACGTTATTTCGCAAGAGATACGTTTTTTTTTAGTGCTTTCGTACACAGCCGGTGGTGTTACCTTTAACCCTTTCATTTCGATTGTTTTGTTTTATTATTATCTCCGTGCGTCGTATCATTCTTTATAATTGGTTATCTGGAAACACGAGTCGTTTCTCGCAAACTTACAGCGGGTAGAAAAATTATAAGGAAAGTCCCCTATTACGAGACAGGCTCCTAATATGAGATAGCGGAGTTTCCGCTAAATGTAAATTGTGTTGCTTGCAGTGTTTATGTGAACTAAGAGAATTGCAAAGAAATAATACACGTATCTTTGAACAGAAGGGAAAAATGTTCGAATTAGAAACAAGAGAGCAAAAATGTTTACTTGGGTGTCGCCTGGTGTCACCAAACGTCGCTTAACTTTAATCGTAGTTTAATTCGCGCTTGTCTCTTTCTGGAGTAACAGTTGGTAGGAGACAACGAATTAAGCCAAGCTTAAAGTTAGGCGACGTTGGCGAAACCTTATTGTATTTGTTATTTCGTAATAGACGATTGCTGGCGATTGTTTGGTACATGTGTATACCAAAGTGGGTCAGAGTGTACACTCGGCGTCATGAATGCTTTTGCACCTGAAAATAGCCGTTGAGTTGAATGTGTTCCGATAGAAAAGGTCATTTTACTCAAATAAATGTTCCTATTGGATATCCTTTTAGCGTCTCTCCCTGGTACACTTTGGTGTGTGCACCAAACAGTCGCCAAAAGTCGCCTGATGTAATACTATTTTTTACTGTAAAACATTCACAACGGTGTAATCTAACGTTACGTTGTCGGTGACTGACACAGCAAGGATGTCTTCGCGAGGTCGAAGCACTCGCTCCCGGATATGCCGTACGACTACAGGGCTCTGGAGCCCATCATATCCGGCGAAATCATGGAGCTCCATCATTCCAAGCATCACGCAACCTACGTTAACAATCTGAACGTGGCCGAGGATAAAATGCGGGAGGCGGTCGCGAAAGGCGACGTTAATACGCAAATCGCCCTGGGCCCGGCTCTCAAGTTCAACGGCGGTGGTCACCTCAATCACTCGATCTTCTGGTGCAATCTCTCGCCCAATGGTGGCAAACCGGATGGTAATACCCAGAAACGAGCGGATTAAACTCCTTATCGCATAAATAGATTCTTTAATTTATAAAAGAGATGTCCGCAAACGACTTCGAAATTGAAGGATCCTATTTCTTTATTTCGTGTAACGTCAGTCGGAAGGTAACGATTGTAGTTTACGTGATGGATGAAGTATCACCTCTTTTTAGCCGCTCTTGCGAAGCAAATCAGCAAAGACTTCGGCAGTATGGAGGATATGAAGACGCGCTTATCCGAGATGACCGTGGCAATTCAGGGCTCCGGTTGGGGCTGGCTCGGTTACGATCAGAAGGCCAAGTCGCTGAGGATAGCGACCTGCGCGAATCAAGACCCGCTGCAAGCCACGACCGGTCTCATTCCTCTCTTCGGCATCGACGTGTGGGAACACGCCTATTACTTGCAGTACAAAAACGTACGGCCCGTCTACGTGCAAGCAATCTTCGACATTATTAACTGGCAGGATGTGAACGCGCGCTTCAAAAACGCCACCGGTTGCTAAGGATTTACAGAGTCGTCTAGCGTTTAAGTCTGGTTTTTTTCCAGATATTGAGAGGTTTTCTAGAGTGGCGCTTGTATCTAGGACCAACAGGTATCATCAGGAACTTTTGACACACTTAATTCGCCTGTGATTTCACGCTTTTCTTTTGTACGCTATATTCGACGTAACTAGGATCGAGTTACGAGTAAAACGGATGTGTAAAAGTACATTCATTTAGAACCTTGTCTTTAATATAAAATGGAAATCCGTTTTTATTTAGTAGCAATAAAATTAAGGGGACACATAACTCCAGAACGATTAATTCGTACAGGTTTAATCCTCAGCCTATACACTCCTCATCAAAATAGACAACAAAAATTCATAATTACTTTTCAATCAAACGAAAAAGTCTCTAAGTTTCAGGCAGCTTAATGATGGACAAGTCGTAGAACAGAGTTCTTTCCAAAATGATCGTCAACATCAGGAAAGTCTGATATGACACACTGCAGAAAAAGTGATCGCTGTGTAATCGGTTCTTTCCGCATGATTCCCTTTATTAGAATGTAATTTTTTAAATAAAATTATTAACTTTACGCATAGACATAGTAAATATAGACTGAGCGTCCCATTGAATAAGCTGAAGCTTGTGAAGAGAGAGAGACAGGGAAGATTTAAGAAGACTCTTTCTCTGCTTCACCATCGAATCAAAGGTGACGCAGGCACGATTCTTTTCCTTTACGATGATGTAAGACTGAGAAAGAAAGTTCGCTTAAATCTCTCTCTCCCTTCACTAGCTTCAGCTTATTCAATGAGACGCTCAGTCTATATTTACTATGTCTATGACTTTACGCTTCTCTTTTAAACAGTAAAATTATCTTCGAAATCTATGAGCGTCGCTGATAAGGAAGTTCAACGGAATTGAGAGAAATTTACAAGAATTACGAGGACTTTATGACTTATTTAACAGGAAACAACGATAGGTACACTAGGAATTTTTAGCGAAGAAACTGCAACTGCAACTAGATGCATTTCAAATACATTAGATCCGAAGACTTTTATACAAATTCAATTGTTTGTCAGATGAAGCTACGAAAAATACTTTTATATTGGTAACAACTTATTGCATGTACAAGATTTATCGATAACAAGGTAAATATAGTTTAAGTTTAACAAGTTCTTTGTTTAACAAGGTATTAAAATTATTTTACTGAAGAGTATATGATTACGTTTGGACTCTAGGATGGTGTACGCGTTTCGGCACACAGTGCTTTCATCAGCGCATATAGCTTACAATATACTACGAATATACATAAATAATTAAATATATAAGTATAGTTTACATGCAAACGGTGAGGCATTAGCAAGACTAACAGCTTAAAAATATTTACATAAAATGGACAAACGTAGAGCACATGAACATATATTTCTACTCGAAGCAAATTATTCCTTTACACACCGATTAAAACATCTCGTCGTTCACGTTGCGTAAATAAATAAACCGAGATAAAAAAACTACGAATCTCGAAGCTTCATAGATTAACGAAATTTCCAAGACAAGAGTTGGTTCGCGCGGGGACGGCGATGCATCTCGAAGACGGAACGAGCCGCGCGTCTCGGAGCGACACTTCCGATAAATCACGTCGACCGCGCGGGGGGTGGGGAAACAAGGTTATGTTTGGGAATCGCCAGGCTATGATTCATCCGGCTTTCCAGGAGGAGCAAGGCGCGCGTTATCTGCGCGTGTGCGAGATCGCGATCTTTATCCTCTCTCGCCGCAGAGAGCGAGAGCGCGGATACCCGCGGGCGCGAGAACGAGTCCGAGGCGCGGAGCCCGCTCGTTCGCAAGCAACGCTCGCCGCGAAGAGCGCGACGGGCATAGGAGCCACGCGAGGCAAGAGGGCAGGCGCTCGTAGGCCGTGCGCGAGCTTCTCTCGCGCGCGCGAGCGACTCCGATAATCGATCGCGGGCGTCGGGGGCCGCCGCCGCCGCCGCTGCCGCGCCGGAAAAGTCGGGCAACCGAGTGGCGTCGCGACACACACAGCGTGCACACGCTCGTGCCGCGCTCTCACCGCTTCCGCGGAACGTACCGTCGGACCCAGTCGGAGCCAGTATGGCCGTAGGACCTCAGCTGTTTTCACGTCACTGCCTACGTATCTGGTGAGTCACTCTGGGACTCTTCTTCTTTTTTTTTCCTTTGTCTCGTTCGCGCCCACCATTCGCGGCACTCGCCTCTTCCTTTCTCTCTCCCCCTCTCGCTCCCTCTCGCTCGTGACCAGACCTGTCACACGCGCGGAGCCGAGCGTGCGTGCGTATGTGCGTATGTGCGTGCACGACCGCGCGTCTTTACGAAGCGCCACGCGAACGGCCTCGCGGGCGCAACATCGCGCCGTGCGACCGCGACGGACGATCATTTATTTAAACGGCCGACCCCGTCATCGTTATCGACGACGGCAGGTGTGCGGACGGCAGGTCCCGGAGCGTTCTCGAGTCGCCTTTGTCCGTCATTCCGCGGGCGAGCGTCACTCGCGTCAACTCGTCGGCGGGGGCGAGCTGCGAAAGTGGACCGTTTCGCTCCTCACTTCAGAGCGAACGCGTCGCTCGTCTCTCGCTCGATTCTCGGGGTGTCCGATCGCGCGAGCCCGCGCGAGTTAAAATTCTCGATAGTCGACGGCGCGTAAAACTGCGACGGGGGGGAATTTCGCGAAGCGTCAAGCCGAAACCGCGCGATCGAAATCGTCGGAGGCGCGAAGCTAGTCGAAAATCGCGGTATTCGTGCCGATTATCTCGATAGTCCCTCGCGTTACGTTTCATCTAGCCGGGAAAGGAAATTTCTGCCGCTTGGCAGTAGCCATCGCTCGTCCATTTATACCGAGACATGTATCAGCTGTAATCTTTGGCCGGTATTCACAGTCGGATATTCTTATATTCAAGACCGTCTTGAATTTATCTAAAGCCCGTGTCAAGCTACGGGTTGAGATCGAGATTAGATTGAAAGTTGACGAATCGGAGTGAAAGTCACTAAAGAAAGTCAGACGACGGTCGGACGCGAAGAAGAAATAAAACCGACGAGAAATCCCATGTAATGACATTAAACGGAGCGTCGTTGTTTTTTCAATTTCCTCGTAAATGTCAAACTATGTCATAATCTGATTTCTAAACTTGAGATTAGTGAACTTTACTCTGATTGGTCAAATTTCAATATAGTCTCAATCCGTAGTCTGATACGGGCTTAAATATTTATGGAACATTTCATTGGCTACGGAGTACCCAAAGATGTTTTCAAGGGGTAAACCGCTGAGGGCATTGTGGTGCACAGATTCGCGGCATGACTGGGCATTAGTTTGGGCATCAGACCTTGCTAGGACATTGTAAAGATAAAATAAGATAAAGTAATGCCCACCGGGCTTTAGTAGGCATTGGTGTACACGATTTTGGTCGGCGGTTTCCCCAGCGGGAAAAATTTCTATAAACAGCTAGAAAAAATGGACTCGAAATAGAAACTTGTAGAAATTTTTACGTCTTCGTTGAAACATTAATTTCTTGTAAAAATATTTACGAAATAGTACCACAAATTACAATGTTCTCAAATTAAGAAATTATTGCAAGTGATATTTAATGAAAGTGTACAGTTTTGTAAAAATTGGTACAAAACTTTACTAGTTTGAAAAATTTGAGAAACAACAAAATCTTAAAGAATTAAAACATCTGCTTGCTCGTAGAATATTATAAAAATTAACGAAAGTGTTCCAATTCTTATAGCATTTTCATGTTGATTTTTGACACTTTTTAAATTTACGTAAAATTTCTTTGATTCTGGCAGTTATAATTCATTTTTTTGTAGAATTTTGTAGAATTATTTCCGACAGGTTTACCCCTCGGATGATCTTAAGACGGTCTTGAATGTAAGATTTGACTGTGAATACCGACCTTAGTTTAACTTGTATTTCTCTAACTCTCAGAGAAGAAACAGATAAATAAGTCGAACCGAGATTACAATTGATCTACATTGATGGAAATGAACGTGAGAGGTGCAGGACTGTGGTCGATCGGTCCGTCTCGTGCACTTTCTCGAGTGTTCCGAGCCACTCGCGTTGCGTCAGGGGGTTGAAACATGACGGTTGTATCTCGACGACAGATATTCGAGCATATGAGTCGACGACAAATCTGTGCGTTAACGCGGATGTATGTGCAACGTACATGCGCGGGACGTTTGTTTGCGTTTTATGCCTCATACGCCTCGTTTTATCATCGTTCACAGTTGGAGATTTACGTGGCGACATGGAGTGATCGACGATCAAGATGGAATAAACGGGAAAGGACCTGAGCAGAATGGCTGTCTTGTACCTTTAAGACACAAGACAGTTACCACTGCGCGCGTTAATTCAAAGCCTAATCTACAATAATGTGCTCTCTGCATCTAGAAACGTTCTATTTTATATAAACAAATCGGAACGCTGAAAAAATTTGTCGACGATATACAATTGTGTAATGTACAATTTATATCAACTTGTACACATTTTTTAAACGTGTTGACTACAAAGTAGAACGTTTCTACACGGAGAGAAGGTTCTCTTAAAATTTCTCCTGAAAACCATGTGATCGTGAGACAATATGGCATTTCGAAGAATTTTATGAGAGTTTTTTGAAACTTTGCCATACATTTCACTAGTAATTATACATAGTATACATTTTGCTAGTAAAATGTATACGAAGAACTTTATGTATACTAAACAACTTTATGGGAGTTTTTTGAAATTTTACTATACATTTTACTAGTAAAATATACATCGGACCAGACAGTCTAATTCTCCGACGAGAATTTAACGGGTTTATTTTACTAGTTCATTTGACTTGGGTTCATTTTACTAGTAAAATGTATGGTAAAATTTCTAAAAACTCTCATAAGGTTCCTCGAAAGGCCATGTCGTCATTTTCAGGGTAAATTTTAAAAGAAAATTCTCTCCGTGTAGACGCGAAGAGCACATTGTAGACCAAGCTTAAGACAAAGACTTGAAACATAAAACATTGTCTTCACAGCACAAGACAGCCATACTGCTCAGCCCCGTGAGGAGACTGAGGAAGGATATATTTTTATCGGATAGTGTGAGAAAGAAAATGAAATAGTTTGACATTTACGAGGAATTGAAAAAAAAGCGATGCTCCGTTTAATGTCATTATATAGGATTTCTCGTCGCTTTTATTTCTTCTTCGCGTTCGACTGCTGTCTGACTTTCTGCAATTATCGACGCGTGTTTTCGTCATTTAACTCGATAGACAAAATCTTACTATGCCAAAAGGAAATTCT